GGTCACATATGAAGGGGGGGGGCTGGACCCCCTCCTGCGGTTCCTGCCTGAGGTATTTTTATCGCGAGAAGGGTACAGCAATCCCTTCCCTCGCGACGTACGAAGTCAATTATGGTTTACTAACAACGAGCTTTGCAACGCGTCGCGTTCATCCTAGACCAGGATTTATTTTAGTGAGAAAAAAACTCACTCTGCCGGGACTTGAACCCATGACCTGGCCCTTAGTAGGCTGCGAGGTTACCCACTAGACCACCGGGGCGACCGGTACTGTACTAGCATGGCGCGAAACGAGGAGTGAGGGGGCCCAGCTCAGGCCGGTCTGGCTCGCTTCCAACAAACCAATCACTGCCTCGAAAAACATGATCATTACAGAAGTGAATGTTGTCACGCAAAGCTCAAAAGCGTCTGTCACACTGGGCTTACTTTGCGTGGTCGCACGGTGGTAAGACTTGCAAAAGCCTGACCCAGGACTTCCCCCGACCCTATCTTGAACCTTGGCGTCAAAGAGAGTCTCTCCTAGCCCGAAACATGGTTGATTGACGGTACGCTGAAAGCCGATAGCGCGCAAAGCGCCTGTACCATAGTCATGGGGGCACGGTACCTGAGAGCCACGAATTCCGTCAGCCGCCGCCAGGCCACCCATTCCCGCCGGCTAGTGGGTGCGGTAGCGCCGACTACGCCAGTCTGCTGGAGGTGAGAGCCACAGCGAATTGATTGTTGGCACGTGCGTTTGGCGGTACAAAAGCTTCCGGTGACCGCGTGCTGAAGAGGGAATCAAACACGGCGGCGAAGAAAAAGGACACAAAAGCTGTACCCGATGGCGTATGGGAGGCATGGTATCCACACGGGCAGCACCCTTGGATGTGATATCTTTTGCGGCACCCCTCCCTCCCCACCGCTCGTTCAAGGGAAACCATGTCAAGATCAAGGACACCAAAAAACATCGCTAGCAACAGCAACAGCAACAGCAACAGCAGCAAAGCACCAGCAATAGAAGCAGGAGCAGCGGGGGAGGCCGCCGCCGCCGCCGCCGCCGCCGCCGCCGCCGGCAGCGGTATTAAAAACGACACTATAATAGACACGGCCAACGCCACCACCATCCCAATCACCACATACTCACGGACCAAAACATGAAGGAAAAAAAAACGTTCCACCGTTCCACCGTCCACCTCCACAACGCCCACCTACCCTTTGGGACCGGGACCGGGACCGGGACGCCACCTCCACTACCCTCACGCAGAACCGGTCGAAGCCGCTCTTCCCCCTCCCCACGACCCTCACCACCTCCACCTCCCCGCCGAGCAGGCTCACTCCCTCCAATCCCCCGTCCCCGTCCCTGGGTCCGGAAACGCCTCCCCCTCGGAAACCCTCTCCCTCGGCCACCACCCCGGTGCCAGCGACACTACTGCTTCGCGAGGCGGCGGGGGCGACAGCGGCGGCGGCAGCGGCGACGAGGGCGCGAGGGTCGTGCAGGAGCGGCACCCGGCGACTCGCGGAGGGGAGGGTGGCTGCGCCCCCGACGCACTCCCTCGCAAGGAGGGCGACCGCCAGGCCCAGGATGGCCGTCTCCCCGAGCCGCGGGCTCTCCCGCTGCAGCGCCCACAGGATCAGCAGGAGCGCGATCGCGTCCACGCCCCCGATCGTGTAAGACGTACGCCCCGGCCTCGATCCGCCGTTCGCTAGGGAGAGGAGAGGTTGGAGTGCGCCGCTTCCTGCTGTCGCACGATTTTCGTTCCCCCGGCCGGATGAGCCCGACCCCTGCTTGGCACCGGTCCCGGCGGAGCAAGGGTTGGGGGCTCCGGGTACTGCTCGGATGCTGGCGAGGGGGCTAGTAGCCCCCACCCGTCGGCCCGCCGGAGCAGCATTGGCTGTGGAGGGTTGCGGCAAGACGGGCCATCGGGGTAAGGCGGGCGCCGTGCCGCCGTACTCTACCGGGAGGTGTTCTGGAGGGATAGCCTGAGAGCAGGAGTCGGGCGAATGGTGCCCCCGAGGTTAAATGCGTTGTTGAAACGGGAAGGTAGAAAAGATGCCGAGTGTGCGATCGCCCCAATCGCAGCCCCAACGAAAAAAACAGAAGCGCGCCAAGACTGCCGAAGTCCTCCATCAATTCCTAGGAAAAATAATGGTGTGGTACATTTTGACATAATCTCCGACTCACTCTCCCCTCAATAAAGCAATAACAAAACCCAACAACAACAACAACAACAAAAACAACACCAACAACGACAACAACGACAACAACAGCAGCACCAACATGAACATAACCCGAAAAACAAAATTCAATCCCCGTCTCCCCCACCTTGAGCAACTCCGGGGCCCACTTCGGCAGCTCCCCGGGCAGCACCCTCAGCTTCCCCGCGTCGAGAGCCGCCCCCAGCCCAAGCGCGCGGGCGGCGAGCATCAGCCCGCCGCCGCTGCCGCAGCCGCCGCAGGCGTGGTCCGCCGCTGGCACGTTCACCACGAAGAGTTGACCGAGACGCTCGGGGTAGCGGGAAAGGCCGATGGCGGCGGCGTCTTGCAAAAGAGAGAGAACGCTGTCGCTCGCCTGCCGTGGCGCAGGCGGAAAGGGAGTTGCACACACGTGGGTGGCGGTGGAAAGGGATCGGCCGGCGTTGGTTCGAGGTTGAGACGAACGAGGAATCATTTGACGCGTGATCTTGAAGGGCTGGTGGTTGGTTGGGGGAGGGGGGTTGTGCGGGAGGTTGCGTAGGTCGACCGGCGGCAACAGGTTTTTCAGGAGAGGGGGGGGAGAGAACCAGAGAGAGGGAGGGGGGAGGACGCCAAGCGCCGCTCACACAACAAGTCAACTATCCACAGAAGACGAGTCTAGCCTGTTGCTGCTTGGAGGGCACGCTGATCATGTTCAGAACTGCCAGCGCCATTGCATGGTCTTGCCGCGCGCTGCCAGTAGCGCGGTGGCAGCGGGCGCTCGTGTGGAGCATAGCGGTGATCTGGTCCTGAGGTAAACCACCGCTAGAGGCCACACGACGTGCGTGTCATACGTCCTGTGACGACAGATGCAGTACAGCAGCAGCGCGCTACACTTTCTCCTCCGTTCCACCACCAAGTAGAGATGGGAGACCCAACCCTTGCAGACCTCGGTTTTCCCGACTCCAGCGGTTTGGCAAAACGTAAACATCCGCATCGCTTTGCCCTCGTTTTCGCAATAGGATTTGGTTTTGCTACGGCATCCGGCCGTAGAAAACGAATTGGCCTTTTTCCTCAAGTGGTGACTCCTGACAAAACGGTTGCCCCGCTGCCCTGCTCTTACACCCCGGCGTCTGCCGATGATGATGTTTCGCATGCCCACACACCACACGAGCGGTGGCGGTGGGGAGTAAACGAGCGCTAAAATATCTGTCTCTGTCTCTGTCTCTGTCTCTGTCTCTGTCTCTGTCTCTGTCTCTGTCTCTGTCTCTGTCTCTCTGTCTCTGTCTCTCTGTCTCTGTCTCTCTCTCTCTCTCGCATTCTCTCACGTTGTCCTGGTCCCAGCCCCTGGCGTCGCAAACGACGGTGCTCCCTTCGATGATAAACTGCGTCGAGAGCATGGACGAGGCGACCCGTTCAAGCACCCGCTCCACGCTCCAGATGAAGTACCTGAGGAGGGTAGGAGGGGATCCAATGTCAACCGTGGTGCGCATAGAGCACGACGTCTCAAAGAAAACTCGACAACTCTCGGTTCACCTCGCCCCCATAAAATCATGTTTCGCGCGTAGGAAGACTCCAGTGCCTGACTTTTGACCAAAAGAAAACCAAAGATAGTACTGGGACCGTGGAGCAGCGTTTGAGGGCGCCTCCAAGGCGGTGAAGTCGTCTCGGTCCAAACATGCCGCGCGGGCAAGCTGGAACAGAACCCCAACGCCGCGCGCGCTGATAACGGTTAGACTTCAAAACGTGTCACCCTGTCTGGTCTGGTCTGGGTTGAGTGGGGAATAAGAATTGAAACTCGCGGATCATACTGTAGGAATCTTGAGTGACTGCTTCTGCTGCTGGTTCGCAGGTGCATTATTCCGCCATCCCCATCACACCAAACCCTGTGTAGCTAGTATCATCCAGCGGGTACGTTGAAGAACACTAGCAGGGTGGTGGTCATGTTCTGATGCACGTCAGCACCGCCGCTGAAATGGTATTTCAGCGAATCCCTAGGGGCCACGCAAGATCACTAACACGGCATAAAAACGGTCAAGCTGGCCACACCCCCGCACGCCCCCCC